CCATCCATCCATCCACCCACCCACCCATCCATCCATCCACCCACCCACCCATCTATCTTTCCATCCATCTATCCTTTTACTCACTCAGCAAGTTGCTTTTGTAGTTCCAGGTTTTGATTCCATACCAAAGGGTCAGTGCTGGGGCCAGAATCCCCGAAAATGAAGTCAGAAGCATAGGGACATCGACCTAACTTAAAATTCTCACTAAATCTGCAGAAAGGTGTACTTGCAGCTTTGCTGGGATGGGCAAGATCTTTTTTGGGGATCCTAGATGGACCTGGCAGGGACTACACATTCAGGAGCTTCATACTCAAAATGAGGTCTCAGGCCTTGCTGACTCCTGCCCCTTCCACGGTGTTCTAGAATTCCTCCCGCTATCCCCCAACACCACAGCAGGAGGAAGCCAAACTAAGTGGCAGCCCTGGGTGCAGGCTGCTGCAGATGTTGCAGAAATGCTGTGGCCTCCCTTGTCCAAAAGGGCTGGTCCACTGAGAACTTTGTAGCAGGCCCGACTCTGCAGATACAATTGTTCCTTTAAATCAAAAGACTCTGTGTTGTTATGCTTAGCCCCATTAATATGCATTTGACTGATGTGTGCATGCCTCTGTGTGTGTGTGTGTGTGTGTGTGTGTGCGTGTAGCATGGAGGAAAAGGCATGTAGACTGGCTTATACTTATTACAAACAGGGAACTCTTTACTTAGAGTCAATGGATGGGGATATAAGAGGATTCATAAACCTCCAGATATTTTGTGCAAACTTTGAAAGAGAGGCTGCCTAGCCTTTCCCAGATTCTCAAGGGGGTCCAAGACCCCAGGGACAGCAGGAATCCTGGCTCCAGAAGGAACTGGCGAGTGACTGCGGGAGCCCACTCCCCCAACCGTCTTCCTGATCGCATTTCAGAACGCCCCAGGCCTTCGCTGTTGCCAAAACGCACTGGCTCGCTGCCTGAGAAGGCAGCCTCTTGTCTGAGGTGGTTCTGCCACCTACAGCACGCAGCCCAGCAAAGCCAGCCCAGCAAAACCAGCCCAGCTCTACGGCAGGCTCGTTTGCACACACGAATCCGGGGGAAGCCTGCCTCTCCAGCCTGGGAACCCTCCTCTGGAAGAAAAATGGCTTTGGAGATTCCTGATTAGTATTCAGAGATAGGAACTCCTTTGGGGTGGGTTACAGCGATGGGAAGATATTTTTACATTCAAGGGGAATGGATAAATCCTGAGGATTAGCACCTGAAAAAAGTGCTGCCCAAAACCCAGGGAGGAAACCACGCCCCACAAGAAAGAAGTAGATAATGAGCTTAAGGGTTCTCTCAGTAAATGCAGCTCTCCCTGCTGGTATGCTCCATGCCCACTGCCCTTCTGGGTCCACAGAGGTCACTTCTGCCGTCTAACTTGTCACGTAATGAAAATACTTGCTTCATAAACATGTGATTCCCAAAGATGCTTAGGTGTACACCCGAGTCGTTTTCTTAATATGCTTAAATCATCCCAAAGGGGGCTGTATACTCGCTGAGGATAGAGATGATGTTATCCTCCTCGTTATGTCCGCAGCGCCAAAGCAGAGTGCCTGACCCTTGGAAGAAGCTCTATAAATGCTTGTTGATTTAAAGGAACAGAAGTGTTGTTTCACAGTCTGTGCTGTTCTTGCTAATACAGAATCATCACATCTACTGTTTGTTGAACTCCGACGTGTCGGACATAACATCTCAAATTCTCACAATGATACGCAAGATGGGTATTGTCTTACAGGTGAAACTGAGAGCCAGCACTCTTAAGGGGCTCAGCCAAGGATGCACACCTAGTGACAGAATTAAAATCCATACCTAGACCTCTTGGCTTCTAAGTCTGTGCTTGTTCTGCTCCATCCATGTATTTTTATATCCACGGTAAGCCCATTTCTCAAAAATGGGGAATGGGCCAAAGGAAATGGTTGAAAACCTAACTTTGTTATTTTAATTAAAAAACAAAACAAAACATTTTTCCATCCCTTAGAATTTCCCTGAAACCTCTTCTTGCTAACCTAGCTTAATAATAGATGCAAACATCTTCTGACCCTGTCTGAATCTAGCAGTGGTTCTCCTTTGGTGGATAATCCACTCTTATCTCTGTTTGTAGAGATGACAGTGGACTACTTCGCTCTGTTTGGACTGGTGAGCATCAGTGGCTGGGGCAGACCTGAGGCTGTCTTTAGCTTGCATAGACTTTGATTTCCAGTGAGGAATTCCTTATGGAGGAAAGATACACATCGAGTCTTCACAGTGTGGGAATGTGGAGTTAATTGCACAGGAATTCCTCGCTTTCATGGGGTCTTCCTTACCAACATTTTAAATTTCAGAAAGGACTCTGAAGCAAGAAGATAGACAAGACTGAAGATGCCGCATAACTAATCCAGATCTCATTACCTGACAGCCTGGTTCACTAGGGTTGAGTGGCTCTTTGGCCAAAGTGTATCTTTGTCTCACACTGTACTTGTGTCATTCAGGCTTTAAAATCTTGCTCTCTTCTTCCTGAGAAACTGCAGTGGGAAAGTGACTGCAGTTGTCCTGTCAACGGAGTTAGCGGTTTGGGCCAAGTTTAGATCATCGATAGGTAAAAAGAGCAGAGAAATTTTTCTAGATGAAGGTAATCTTGATTATCATGCTTAGGCTTGAGAAAATAGGAAGAGCATGGGCAAGTGGGGTTAAGTGAGAAAAAAGTGGAGTTCAAACTGGAAGCCACGGGGAATTTGCACATGTCTTGCTGTTTATATGTATCTATCCTAAAGCAGACCTCAAACTTTAGTACTATGTATCAGAATCAGACATGAGCATGCTTTTCCAAAAGGCAGATTCAGGACCCTAGTTCCATACCTAGTGAAACAGAAGGGGAAGAGCCTGGAAATCTGCATTTTTAATGATCAACTCGTTTGGTTCTGACAGAAGTATTCCTTAGACCATACTCTCAGGAACGTTGGCATGAAAAGATCTTCCGGTATTTATAAGAACACCTTAAATGCATCCATTCACTTGAGCCAAACCTAGGAAAACAGAGAAAAAAGGCACAGTCTGGGCATTCAAAGAGTTCAAGGTCAAGTAGAAAAGAGACTTGGAAGCAGAGGGTTGCAAAGCATGGATGAGTAAGTTCATAGAGCAGAAAGGGCTGAGTGCCATGGGAGAGCTGTAGGGAGGCACCCAGTTCAGCCCGCACAGGGAGAGGTACACAAGTGTAACAGAAGAAGTAACCTTGTCTTCAAGGATGAGTGGGCATTAGCCAAGAAGAGGGGAGGGAAGAATTCCAAGTAGTGGGAACCCAGTGGACCAGTGGACAAAAAGCAGCATGTCCTCTGAGTAATGACAGAAGGGAAGGGAGTGGTAAAAAAGATGGGCGGTGAGGGCACATCTGCCTTTTATAATGAAATGCTGTCTTTCCACATGGAAGGGTGGGTGCTTTGCCAATATGTGTACAGCTGTGTGCTGGTCTTTGTCTTCTCAGATACAGCACTCTCAATGCAGCAGTATTCTGATGAGCTTCCAACTGAGAAGGAATTCAGAAAAGTTCAAGGCAATCCTAAATGGATTTACCTTCTTGCTCATTCATTAATCTTTGTCATCAGATGTCTTGGACCAAAGTAAATCTGAAAAAATCTAGCCAAAGGAGACAAGAAAGCAACCGTGTACAGAGTCACAGAAAAAGCTCCCACTCTGAACTCATGTTGGCATATGTTACTGACATTATCGTTATGTGTAAAATACAAATGAGTACATGAATAAAAATAAAATAGTGTTCATCGTGGGCCTTGATAAGAATTAGGATCCAGAAAGTACTTGTAGTTGCCACTTTGTTCTCCAGTTTAAAAGATGGCTTTCACTGCCATATAATCTACATAAACTAGCATTGTAGCTCACAGTGTGTGGTTATACAAACAGGAACAACAGCAGAAACCAGAGCAGAAATCAGAGCATGCTGTGCGCCATGGAAGAGAGCTTTTTTCTTTAACCAGAGAGAATCATTTGAATTCAGAATAGAGCTACATATATCCACCCAACAGTTTGTACAGAATGTGTCTGGATGTGTATGTGTGTGTGTGTGTAAATCACATTCAGCTGTAATATGGTATTATAAGTAATAGTAAATTAAGTGGGCATTATCAAGTGTTGGTGATATTTCTTTTCCTCCAAACTTGGACAGAGAAAATCAAAACCAGGGGGAAAAAGAAAAGTACCTTTGAGGTTTCTAATTGTTTCCAGCTGTTAACATTATTTATTGCAAATCATATTATCAAGCAGTGAAACACGGATGTCTTTGAACTTTTTTGCAGTTGTGTGTAATACTGGAGCCAATGCAGGAACTGATGTCGAGACATAAAACTTACAACCTCAGTCCACGAGACTGCCTGAAGACCTGCTTGTTTCAGAAGTGGCAGCGGATGGTGGCACCCCCAGGTACGAGCTCGTTCTTCACTCTTGTTCTAAATGCATTTTCTGAGGCCTCTTTGGGGGATGAAGGGATGTGAAAAGGAAGGAAGGAATCATAAATTTGTCAGGAAGACTAGTTTCTTATGGATATTTGGATGTGGGGACGTAGAATTTGTGAAGTACCAGCATCCTTAGGAATCATCTATCATCTCACTTAGGACCTGAAACCCAGAGAAGTCAATTGATTTATTTAATGTTACCAAAATCATTGGCAAAGCCGAAATCAGAAGCAAGGTTTCCTGTCTCCCAGGCCAGTGGCTATTCCACTGGACAAGACTGATGTCTTCTCATGGTCCATTGTTCTTTTGCCTGTTTTTTTTCTTTAAGAATGATATAAATTATGGGAAGAAAGGGAGGGAGGGAGGATGGAAGGGGGAAAAGGAAGGAAGGAAATAAAGAAAAATAAATAAATAAATTTGCTCCCTTTTTTAAGATAGATCTAGTATCAAAGGGTACTCTGATCATGAAGAGAATACATAAAAGATTCCATTTTCCTCACTTCCTTAGAATGCAGTTTAGATACTATAGTCTCCTGCTGGGGCTCTGAAATTACTGCTTCCAGTCATCATTAATTGTCATTCTATCTAATACATTTTTACTCCCAGGCGTGTGTCGAGCCTCATTGATCATAAAAACAAAACGTATCCGTTCGCTAAAAATTATTTTTATAAAGAGTAATTATTAACACGAAGCACATAGCTTTCTGAATCACAAAATAGAATGGTCACCTTCCACTGGTAATGGGCCAGGCATTTTATAGGAAATGAATATAGTAGATTTAACTAAGTACATATTTAGAAATCTGAGAAAACAAGCATCATTTTAGAAGTCCAATGCGCTATCCATTGCGCTACGGAGCCACCCTACGAGCATCATTTTACATAGAATATTTACATCCCTGTCTTAGAGGAATTTTAGATATTTGAAACATTATTTTTCAAATCTATTGAATGCGCTTAGATTATTTTCTCTTTCAATATCAATAAGGCTTTATGGGAAAAAATATTTCACTCAATGAATGCTTTGAGAACCTATATTTTCCAGCATATTTGTATATAATTTATATATTATTTATTAACTCAATCATTCATTCAGTAGTTATTGATTAAGCCCCTACTAGGTGCCAGGTACTGTTCCAGTCACTAAGGGGTACGGCACCGAATGAAACAATCAGAAATCCCAGCCCGCCCAGACCCTCCATTCTCTTTCTGAATCCTCACAATAACCTTATGAGGTATTTAATATTACTTCCATTTTAAGTGTACAGGGCCTGAGATTTAAGTAGTAATTTGCCAAAGGTGGTCTCATAGCTGATCAGTGAAGGAGGTCTGTGTCACAATAAGTGCTTACATCTCCAGAGTTCATGACTCTATGACCTCAGCTACCTGCTGCCAATGGGAGTAATCCAGAGTATGCGGTGTCGGTATATTTCCCCCAAATTTCACAAAAGAAGTACAGATATCAAAAAAAAGTAGCCAATTTTAATTCTTGAGGTAAAGGAAGAAGATGTTTGTCAGGGGAACTGAGTATTTGCTTGACCTTGAACGTGTAACTCAACTCTTTTCTGGCACCCTGAGCTGGACCAATTCTATTTCCTGTTTCCTCAACCTTCAGGACAAGCACCCATGACTCTCTGTGGACAGACATGTTAGGCCCTTTGATGAACATCTCTGATCATAAGAGACAAAATATTCATGAAGGGAAAAAAGTGGTATATAAATAGGAACATAATCCCCTTCTTCCTCAAAAGTCAGGGATAATTTGGTGGACTAGGTGGTCTTTGAAATGAGCCTTAAAGGAGATCCTGCCCACTGCCCATCAGAAGCAGCATAAGTGTTTTAAGAAAATGCCACGAGGCCCTCTCACTTGGTTCCAGTATGGCCCCGGCTCACCTTCTCTCCTTCAGAGTTGGGTCAAGACTAGGGTTAGCAAAAAGGATGCTCTTACATTCCATTTCCAACTGAGTAACTGCCTGGAAAAAGTTTCCGAACATTTCTCATTTACAAATCACAGATTAGAATAGTATCTAATTAATAGAGTTGCTATGGATATAAGATAGTCATGACATAGAAACCATGAAGAACATGAAAACATTTGATAAAACTCACTACATGATGTATAAATAAATAATATCATAAGCACATCACCACGGGTCCCTATGCTTCCAAGAAGACACTGCCCATCCATCCAGTCCAAAATATTTTCCTGTTTCTAAACAGGACTTTCCTGAAAAGATCTAGTTCCCCTTCATGAATATGCTGGCCGTGGCCCACTAAGACATTTTTCCCTCAGGAAAGTTGAAATTAGTAGCATTCTTTAAACATCAGAGTCCAAACCATGCAACTTGAGAACTGAGCTTGGGAGCCCATGGCCGACAGAACTCACGCTTCCTCTTCTTTGTACTCGAGCATCTCCAGCTGTGATGGTGCTGGGCGCTTACCCAGAGACACGGCTCCTACACAGGTTCACCCCCTTCACTTGGCTTCATCCTTTCCCTCATCTCTCAGAAGCTCCCTCCCTGCCAACCCAAGGGAGCCCAGGGCCCTCCTTTTGCTCTAAAGACACGACAGTCCAGAGAAAAATGTTTTCCCCAATTTTGAAATGGTAATAATATTTTTAACTCAACTATAAAAGTGGTATTTGCGGCTGGCCCTTAAAATATATGGATAGATTCCAGACATACAACATTCACGAAACCCAATAAAACACAAATCATTCTATCTAGATACCAAAGAAGAGGGTTGCACGCATTTGGGGCTAAAAATAAAACAAGCGCTTCCTCCCTTTACTCCGCGTACATTAAAAAAAAAAAAAAAAAAATGGGAACAATGTAGAGTCTACTCTTTTCAATTCGCAAGCACAGGCTCCTTGGAGGGACAGTATTCTGACCGTCGCCCCGGAACTGATCCCCTGTCCATTTTCCATTGTGCAGCAGAACCCACAAGGCAGCCGACAACCAAGCGGAGAAAAAGGAAAAACTCCACGAGCAGCACGTCCAACAGCAGCGCCGGGAACAACACCAACAGCACCGGCGGCAAGAAGAAGACTCCGGCCGCCAACCTGAGTCTGTCCAGTCAGGTACCTGTAAGTCTCGCTTTGCTCTTAGGCCTGAACTCCTGCCTTTGCCTGTCTCCCCCCTGCAGGGGCCCGCGCGAAAGCCTCCCTGAGCTGCCAGGGCGGTCTGGGCAGGTTGGGGGCGGGGGAGGGCAAGGCCGGGCTGGGGGTGGAGGCGGGGGAGGGGGCAGGGGAGGGAGGAGTCCTGCCATGGAAACCTTCCCTTGCAACCTGGGAATTAGAAAGGAATATTAAGAGTCTGTGCTGCGCAGGGACCTGAATTAAAAAGCCGTCAGAGTCACAGACAGGAGATATGTCACTTAAGGTTTAATTAAAATATCACTTAGCAGCAATGCCTGGTGGCACAGAGGGGCTCTCGGCACCATCGCTGGAGACCCCGTGCTCCACTGGAAGCTAGCTCCCGGCGTTCAGACTCCGTATTGTAATTGGATTGGGCCTTCCCGACCTGGGTGTCCCTTCCTATTTTAAGACTCAGGTAATTAACTCCCGGCCACTCAAAATGCAGCTCAGTGGATTCCACTTTACCCATTTCATGAGCTCAGGGGGAGGGTGGGCCCCTGGTTTGGTCTCAGCTCTCTTGACCTCTTGACCCTTTCTTTCATTTCTGGGTCTTGACAAAGGAAATGGGCCACTGAGAAGGGGGGCTTCTTTGAACTCCAAGGCTGACAGAGGACGGGTGTCCCCAAAGAGTGTACACCGCGTGGGCCCTTTCTTCATCTTTCTTCGTCTCCTATTACTTTTACTTTCAAGTCCTGTCCTGTCTGCCCAATTCCTTCCTGACTCCAAATCCCTCAGCCCAGTGTCCGACCATTTATCGCTTTTAAATTCTCATGCTCCTCTAAGCATTTCTTGTCCCTTGTCCCCTCCACGATTACTTGTGGGTGCTCCTTCTCTGCTGCCCTAGCCACACCACCCTGTCACCAGGCGTTTGACTGTTGTTTGAGCGCCAACACCTTCGTGGTGCTGGGTGGCATCCTCTAGATGCCATGTCTTGGGAAATGGGCTCTATTTCTTGTTACTTCCCTTAACCAATGCAATTTGACCTTTTCCCTCTTTCTCACCTTTTTTTCCCCTCTTGATCTGTCATCCTCACATCTCTCCCCATGTGAGAGTGGACCCTTCTTTCATGGGGATTCTCCACTTACTTCTAAATGTGTCTTTCAAATCTGTCCCCGACCCACTTTTACCCACTTTCCATCAGTCCGTTTTCTTTGCCTAAAACCAACCCCATCAGTACCTGAGAATCCCCGGGTCCACTGGAACTCTTCTCCTGTCTTCCGTAGGCAGAGGGTATGGTTTTCATCCTCACTGCACTAGAAAGAAAGGGTCATGGAGAGAGTGGCCAGCCTGTGGGGAAGGTACCATTTTGTTTTTAAGACCGCTAGGAATTATAGTCTTTAAATAATGCCAGACTCACCTCTGTTTTCTGAACTGGGCTAAAGAGTCAGGAAAAAAAAAAAAAATCAAAGAAGAAAAACAGTTTTTTTATGAAGGTACCAATAAGCTAGGCCCACTCCTGGTTAAACTGGAAAATGCATAGAGAAAATGGCCTGGTATAAATAAATCAACCCAGAAGTGCTCACAAGTAACCCATTATTCATCTACTACTGGAGTTTTAGAAACTAACATTTGTTAGTTTCCCCTTGCAAATGACAGTGCATTCCAGAGAATTCTGGAACTGTGACATCACTACTTAAAGGCACAGTGGCTGCAAGAATTCAGCTCAGTTCGACAAATGTTTTCTGAGCTCCGACTATGTGCCCCCCACTATACCAAGAGTAAACAAACAAAAGACAGCAAAAACCCAGGCCCTGTCATTGAAGAGCTCATGTCTACTCAAGGGATGGCCAAGAGGTTTCCTCTCTCCTGGCAGCTCAGTCTCCTGGGGTCAGCTAACAGGTCCAGCACTGAGTGGAATTCTGAGGCCCAGCCTGGGTTTGGTGAGCCGTCCATCCTTGATGTCTGCCTCAGGTGTAGAATAGCAGCATAAGTTTCATGTATTTCGACATACCTGGCCTCGTTGGAAACATTTCAATTTTATCTTAAAGGGCACGTAGTTTGTTCTACTTCCTGATGCTCCTTTCCTCCAATCCCCCAACTGCATCTTAGTGGAGGATACCTGTGTCCAGAGGGTTCTTAGTGAATTGAGACCCTTTGGACTTGGTGAGAACAAGGCACCATCAGAAAGTGAGAGCAGAATTTCAGCACCATCCCCACTCCATGCAATTAAAAGAGGTTTTAACCAAGTAAAACTTACAGAGGGCCAAGAGGGGCAGGGAAAGGCAACCGGGTTAGGAGAAAGGTGCACATTTCTGTGTGCACTCCAGTTGAAAGGACATTAAATGATAAGCATCGTCTGGCTTGTAGCGGCCACATCTTTTAACCCTGTGTACTGAACTACCGACACGACATTACTGTTAAAATAGAACGCGGTCTGCAGCCCTGGCCGCCTCGTTCCCAGGCATGACCAGAGTTTATGTGCCACCGTGACCACAGCTGTGGTCCGCCTAGCTGCCGCGGCAGCAGCGTGTGCGTCTGGCGAGGACTAGGGTTTAATCCTTGGATTCTGCTTCTCACTCCATGAGCAGGGGCTAGGAGCGATCCCGAACTGCAGCCTCAACCCTGGGAGGGATGGAGACCTGTGTCATTCTACAGCAGTGACCCCTTCTGGCCAATTTAAGGAGAAGCATTGAGGGGCCCTGAAAGGAGTCACTTCCAGTCCTCCTCAGAGGTTGGTGGTCCTTGCACGGGGGATTAGTGAGAAGATGTGACATGGGCAAGAGCTGGTGGCACCTCCAGGCCTCCAGCGAGGAGCAGAGAGGTCTGCCTCACGGGGAGCCGAGGGCATCTGGGTTACTCTCAGACACACCGGCCCTGCCTCCTGCGGGACACACGAGAAAGCAGACGTGGGAAGGAAATGCACCTCTCACGGCCAATGTTGAATGTTGGGGGGATTTTTAAAGATGTGGGGGTGGGGAAAATGGAGCCAACTTCCACTAGTGAGAGGCAGCCCCAAATGTGCACTATGTCTCCATTCATTTTGTGTGAGGCTAACAAATCGAGACCGCCTGAGCAGAGAACCACTCGTCTCGTCTGCAGGTTCCGTAGACGTAGGTTCCAGGTAGAGCCCTGTGCATACTTGTGTAAGTGTGTGTAAGTGGCCTCAAGTACGTACGCGCCTAAGAAGCCCCTAGCACACATCTCTTTCATAGCTTGCCATCTATCCATCACTCCCGCGCGTACACACAGGATTATGTATCTGGTTAAGGCTTTTCTTTTATAATCAGCAAGGCAAATGTGGCATCTCTCTGAAATTTAGAATGCTGACAAGGATCTATGCCTGGGCATCTTTCCAGCTGTTCCAAACACTATGAGCTGATATCGGCCCCATTTGGAGTGATTCAAATCACGATTTTCATAGTACTTTTCGTGAATGACCATTATTTTTCTGATGCCATGGAGGCACCTGGAGTGTTGAGGACCTTTTCCTAATGTCACGCTTAAGCTGCCTTCTGATTTTTCTCCTCTGTTTCCAAATTATGCTTACCTCCCACACTGTCCCAGCCTCTCTCGACGACCTTGGACTCACGATACTAATGCAGACCCACGTGGTCGGTCCCCACGCCCTTCTCCTGTCCTGTGACACCTCACGCATGTGTGTTCCAACCCTTCCAAAGTGTGCTGCACGTAAGTCATGAAATGAGATTAACCCACGTCATCCTCTCCCCAGTCTTGCCCTATTCTTTCCCCTCACCTTTGTTCCTGGTCATAAGCACTGTCTCCCGATTGCCTGTAACCAAGTGGCTTTCTTTTTTGTCCAGAACACCTTCAGCGGGCGGTGTGGCTAACCCGATAATGTCCCCTCCTCTCTGGAGAGCCCATTCCACCTCCAGTCCCGTCCGTACTCTTGCCAGTCAGAGTCTGTCTGTGTTGTTCCTCACCTTGAGTCCACGTCAGTGTCACGTCTGGCTCTTCGCTGCATAATCAATATGTTCTTCGAAGCACACTGCTGATTTCCCTGCCAGCACCTAGATCGCTGAGTTTATCCAATTTGTATTTGAGGCATTTACTTAACCTGGGACATAGCTCTTTAAAATCACGTTTGTCAAGTCACAAGAGTGATTAGTCAGAAAACACAGTTTGGAAATCCACTGATGACCTCCCCCATAGTTCTCGGGGAATCAATCAATCAGTCAATCAAACAAACCAAATTTTCCATTCCAAAATCGACCAGGCGGACATTAAGCGTTCTGTTCAATTGGCACCTTCAGAATTCTAGAAGGAAACTGGAGGGTCCACTGGACCTTCTCCTGACCAAAGGCAGTAGTCTACCATACTGTCCCAGGAAAGCCTCTCTTGCCCCCAGTGAGGGCAATTTTTTGCCCAGTTACCAAGGCATTTTGTCCAAGGCATAGCCTCCCTGTCAGGAAACGCACCCTTATATGCCCAAAAGCATCTGGCTCAGCCCTGCTTTTTCTGGCAGAGGCAGAAGCTGACAGCACTGGGCACTCTCCTGGAGTCACTGCTCTTTTGAGTAGACCATTGCTCACAGCCTGCCCAGCAGTATCACCTGACAGGTGTCCTGTCCCATGCCCAGGTCACCCATCAACCCCATACGGCCCCCTTTGAACAAAGAGGCTGGAGCTGTGCCCTGTGTATGCGTCCTTCTCCCCCGTCCCTCTCCAGCAGTGGCCTCCACGAAGCTCCCAGCTACAGTAGGTGGCTTCCTTGTTTGCATGGAAGGACAGTTTGTACTTAAAGGAGTGATTAGATGGATTCTTCTTGCACGCTTCCATTTCTGATGACTACCAGCTTCATCAATGTAATTATAATTAGTGCTCTTCATCTTCCTTTTATGGCACCAGCTGGACAGACTGGTTCTCTTTACTGCCCAGATTGGTGGCAGGGTTGCCTGTGTGGGGATAGGTGACAGGCACCATGAGATAACAGATGGTAAATTCAGGGCTTGTTGGCAATCAGCAGGTTTTTGCTAATGACTTAATTAGCTATGCAAATTGTCAAATCAGTGTGAACATTGTTTTTATCGAAAACTTTACCTAAATTAATTACCATAATTAAGTAGCAGAATGTCAAGGATATTGGCTGCATAAAAGGGCCTGGCTGAGTAGAAAAAAGAGAGATTCTGTCTTCAATTAAAATGTATACCGTCCTTGGGACAGAGAAAATGCCATTCGGAATGAGTTGCGTGAATATCGTAGAACTGCATCCTCCCCACGTTGGCTGCTGGTTTCCAAAACCATTCAGAGGCCCTAAATAAAAAGTGGCGGAGTTTTGGCGGTATTGGAAAGCACCCAGCAGAAGGTTCCACAGCCCTCTCTGAAGTCCCCAATGTCGGCAAGTTAAAAGCGTGGATTTTTTTAATTTTGAAAAATCGATTTTTTTATTTCTGCAGATTGCTAGCATTGCTCGTTCTCCGGTGTCAGGCTGCGCACTAAGGACATAAACTCGCGTGGTTGTTCCCCATCAGGAGGCAATGTTTATTTCCTGTAGAAATCAAATATGCGTCTCGCCCCCACCCCCCGACTTTGAGACTTGACCCCCGGGACACAGTACACGAGTGTGTCTGTCCTAGATCGCCCAGCCCCTCCCGCTAGTGTTTTAAGCTGAGCTTCTCTGTCCCAAGGTTTCCCTGTAATAATGTCAGCTGCTGTTCACAGGATGTGATGGTGGTAGGAGAGCCAACTCTGATGGGAGGTGAGTTTGGGGACGAGGACGAAAGGCTAATCACTAGATTAGAAAACACGCAATATGACGCGGCCAACGGCGTGGACGACGAGGAAGACTTCAACAGCCCCCCCGCCCTGGGGAACAGCAGCCCGTGGAGCAGTAAACCCCCCGCCGCTCAAGAGACCAAATCAGAAAACGCCCCGCCCCAGGCTCCCCAGTGAGACTGACCCGCACCTGCACCCACTGTCAGTAGGCCGTGGGGTACACACACCCACGCTTGCAGATCCTTGCCTACAGGAGAGGAAGGAGGAGAAATAAAAACTTTTCCATGCGAATACCTATTTCTAAATCACAGTGATCTGAGTTTGAGTTTCTTTCTTTTTTCCTTTTTGAATTGAGAGGATTATTCCAGTAAACTTCCATGACCCTTCCCTGGAGGCCTTCGCAGGTAACACATATACTGGCACTGATGGTAATTAAAACCAGAGCGAACGCTCGCGCTTCTCCTGGCTCAGTGTTAACCACATGTTTGTTAATTACACGCCCCGCCCCGCCCCGCCCCACCCCGCCCAGCCCAACCTAACCCAGCCCAACCCAACGAAGGCCATATTGTCAATACGCCCTCAGTGCTCAGGGTCTCATTATATGCCGACCCTAACCACAGATGACTTTTTAATATTGTAAAATATTTTCTGCTTTTTGACTTGCATCTGAGAGTTTCTTGTTTCAGTAAAAAAAGAAAAGAAAAAAAATCAGCTTTTGGACAGTAATTTAAGTGTATCCTTATTAATTTTTATTACTTTCTTCACCTTTTCCTTCATTGGGTAACAGCTAAGAGGACCTAGCAGGGTAATTTATGGGTGAGCTAATGTCAATCGGTTCTCCAACCCGAGTTGGTTCAATTGAGCCCAAGTGCTGAAACAAGAAATGTCTTTTTGTCATCGAAGACGCCGAGGTGGATTTTTTATGTAAAGAAAGACACCTACCTGGCCCGTTGAGAACTGATGCGTTTGTAAAATTGCTGTTGATCCAGATCTTTTCAAGCCATGTAATCCATTAATTTTGTGGGCAGTTTAATAAATCTGAAACTCTTTTGTGTTTTTTATTGTATCTGAGTTGACTGTTGTTTCTTTTCATAGTATATTTCTTGTATAATATTTTGTAAAGCCCTCCCTTGGTTCTTTTATGGGGATTTTTCTTTTGGGGCAATTCCAGTGTATTTATGTGAAACTTTATAAGAGAACTAATTTTTCCATTTGCATATTAATATGTTCTGCCACACATGTAAAGACACAGTGGCTCCATGTGTTATAAAACAGCTGTATTTTATGTATGCTTTACCGATAAGTGTGCCAATAATAAACTGTGTTAACGACCAACGCAAGTGGATCTGGCTGTTTGTGAGCATGGGCAGAGAAATCTGCCCACAATTATGAGAAGTCTGGAGCTTGGAGTTAGCGCCCAGCCTACACATGGAGTGGACTTGTGAAAGCTGCGCTGTTCTTTGTCAAGTGTGATTCCTTTCCCTACTCACTGCAGTTCACTTGGGCAGATGTGAGAGTGTCTGCTCTGAGCAAGGAAGATCTGGCTTGTGCTTCTGGAGCTTGGCAAGTGGAAGAGTGGTAGCTTCCACTCGCTGAGAGTATATTTTGCACCAACCAACCCTACTTCAGGTCCATGGACATTATTTCAGCTCATCCTCAGAGCTTCACAAAGTTAGCATTAATATCTTCGTTTTTAAAAATCAATGCCTTGCTTGCCTGTTTTTCTCAAAAGCTGCTATACGAGACTCTGGAAAATTCACATGAGGACTTTTTTGTTTAAAGAAATTCCCTTGTGTTTCTCCACTTTGTTTTCCACCAGTGAGGAAGATGAGAGATGAAATTTGTTAGCATGTGTTGGATGTGTTTTAAGTGCCAGGCGATTTTAATTTATCATCTTGGCAAATTCTGGAAAGGGGAATTTGAAAAAGAAAAGCTAAGGGAGGTCACGTGGGATTCCCAGAAGCAGAGCCTGAGATCAGGATTTTGGGGCACAAGATGACTGAGGGAGTGTTCTTCAGGTGAAAGAAAGGGAATCTTTAAGAAAGTCGGGGGGAACAGGATGGGGAAGGGGAAAGAGTCTAGAAAAGCTGTGGACTCATGTAGTCTACATTCTGGACCTGGTCCATGAAGGGAGAGCTCAGAACACAGACCTCACTGTAGAACTGCCCCTTCCTGAGCTGAGCCACCCAACTTTTGTGTACCTGTATGAGTCAGTTGTTGGCTGGAGCCATCCGCAGGGTATAGGAGACTGTAACCTTTGGAACAAGACGGCCCCCATCAGCTCAGGGCAGTGCTGCAGAGAGTAAGATGGCCAAATAGAAGGCAACAGTCATACTGTGCTGGTGTGGGTGTGCCGGTCTCAGAAAGGGCATCTAGGCAGGGCACAGTCTACTCCATTAAGTGACTTGTCTCATCTCATAACTCATGGGTGACATAGTTGGAATTTGAATCTGGATCTCTCTTGACTACAAAGCCTACATCCTTTCTCGAATATCACATCGCTTCTCTAGAATATTAGCATTTTGAGAAAAGATGTGCAGTAGAATAGCAAAAGAGCCAAAGGACATATAGGGAACCGCTACTTTATTGCTTACACACCAGAGTACTGCTAAGAGAACTTCCAGTTTATCCCCCACCCACCTCACCATTTTGTCAAGTCTTCTAAGCCACCAATATGTATTACAGTTGATGCCTGGGACATATTATTTGACACCTGTTCCGGTTATCTATTGCTGCATGGCAAATCAACCCAAAACTCAAGAGGACAATTTATTATCAGTTACCTTTCTGAGAGCTCACTGGTCTCTGTCGGGTGGTCTGCACTTAGGGGCTCACACACTGACTGGGGCTGGAGTCATCAGAGGCTTGACCAGGCTGGACATCCAAAATGGTGTATTCACACTGCTAGCTATGAGGTAGGAGCTTAGCCAGTTCTGTTAACTGGAGTGCCTTCGTGTAACCTCTCCACAAAGTTCTCACAGAATGATGGTTGGGTTCTGAGAGGGAGTATTGCAAGAGCCGGCATCCCAAGAGAGGAGAAACATAAACTGCCAAGGGTAGAACTAACCCAAGGTCACTTCTTTGTGCTATACGTCAAAGCAGCCCCGATGCAAGACCTGGAGCCATAGCCTCTACTCTTTGATGGGTAAGTGGTGTGTGCATACAGAAAGGGGAGGAACCGTCTACGGCCATACCACCATGAACGCGCCCGATCCCGTCAGAAAGGGGAGGAACTGACGGCAGCCATTTTTGGAAACAAACATCTACAACATCCAGTGCAGTTCACATCCTGGTCCTCGCTTACCTTCCTGTTGTGCTTTTAGCCCCTCCCCACTTGCACCTGATTCGCCATCCACCTAGGCTCCTCCCAATTTTCTGAATACACCAATTGCTCATGTCACACATGACTTTGCATATGTTTTTACTTCTTAGAATCATCCCCCACCTTCTTACATAACCAAAGTTCTTCATCTTTAAAAGCCCAGCTTGATTCTCCTGTCTGCAGAGCTGCCTCCCCAGCTATGGTCAGGATCTACTGATCCCTCTGAGATCCAAGAGACACTTGGTTCTTGCCTCTACCTTAGGGCTTTCCTTACAAGGTTTTGTTGATGCTGCTGAATACAACTCACTGTCCCCCTAAACTTTCCCAGGTCTGAGCTGTTAATCATTTCCATCTGAATTCTTAATATCTAGCTCTATCATACATGTTGATGGAACATATATAGTTAAAAACTCCCAAGCAAGAAATCATGAAAACACTGTTTACCATGTATCATCCTGTTCAGTTTTACAGTCTGTAATTCTAAGGCACAATGTAGGGGGACAGTTATCCTTGCAGATATACAAGAAGGTAATAGATAGACAGAGATGGACGGGTTCAAGTTTCTTAGGGGTCAAATCAGCACAAAACAAACATTGCATTGCATTGGCCTAAGCCTAACTTCTCTTATAGGAACCCCAAGAGATTTGTCATGCCCTGAATAATCCCAAGGGCAACCATTATTAAGTACACACTACATATCAGTCATTTGCAAGGTGCTTTACCTGGGTGGTCTCAAACTGGGTATCCAAGGGTGGTGCATGAGTTAGATTTTGCTTTGTAAAAATATCCAAAACTTAGCAGTTTACAACAACAAAGGTCTTATTTTTCTCACTCATGGGGCTATGGGTCACCTGGGGCAACTCTGCATCAGGTCAGCCCCTCAGATCTCATTCTGGGACAGCGAGTTCCAGGAGCATGCTCCTCTCTTGGCAGATTCTGGAAAAAGTGAAAATAGGATAAGCCAAATCACCCATACACATCTGTTCACCCTGCATCCACTGGCCAAAGCAAGTCATAAGGACAAGCCCAACATCAGTGGGGTGGGGAGATCTACTCTGCCTCCTGCCAAGTCCCATGGCCAAGGGTGTGAATAAACAAGTGGGAATCCAATCTACCACTGCTGACCTACACATTGCCTGAAAAACTTCTAATTAATTGTCAACATTTAAAAAGTAATTTTCAAATTAAAATTTCATGCCTCTCTTAACAAATCAGATTGAACAACAATTCACATTTCTGAATCCCTGGATGGTAACAGTTGGCTGGTCCTGAGTCACAGCTACCCTGCTTGAAGGCTCTTCAGCTCGTCACCACTCAACCCAACTCACTAATTCACTCCACCTGCCTGGCTTCTACAGGTTATGGTAGCTATTACACCCATGCTCTCTACTCCTTAAAACCACATTTGGAAGTTAGCATTGTGGGCCCCAGTTTACAGATGTGAGGACTAATGTTCAAGTAGGTTAGTTGACCCCATTTGTCACCCAGCTAGTAAGTGGTGAAGGGGGCTTGCAGGGCCAAAGCCAATGCTCCTTTCACCAAACCACACTGGTTTAATCAGATTCACAGTAGTGGTTATCCTCTGTGGGTTGGGTTAGGAATGTAGCAGGTATGATCGCATTGAATCTTTGCAATATCCCTGTGGGTAAGGTAATGTTATCATCCCCCATTTTGCTGATGGTACTTGGAGCAGTTAAACAGTTTACCCAAGGTCACAGAGCTCACAAGTGACAGCATCATGTCCCCTTGACTCTAAACCACTTTCTCAGAGTTACTATCAGGTACACAGGCTGCAGGTCGGGTATTTGGAGGTGTTCCCTGGCCTGGGAGAGGGGTCCTGGTATCCACCTTTCTACCATTAGCTATGTATTTTCAGGGGTTGTCAAAAAGGATGCCAGAGATCAAGAATTGCCATTTACCTGGTAATGGAATGAAGCAGGGAGGCCCGCATTTAAGACCTTGAAATCTCAAGGGCATCTGACAAGGGATTTAGAAATAAGTGACCCAGTCCCTGCAGGGAATTTTTTTCTCTCTCCATTTCTTCTTTTTTTTTTTTTTCTCTCCATTTCTTCTTAACCTTGAGGTGAGCATTTAATGCAATAGGATAACACAACCCACACTGATTCTACATGGGGTGGGCTGTGGTGGGAACAAGGCCAACAATTTCAATGTCCCCAAATCGGGATTGGCATTGGCAGCATCCTTGGGAAATTCATTTTATAATGGGGTACCCCTCCATTCTCCATTAAAAAATTACCAGTTTTTTGTTCTGAATAAGTAATACATGTTCATTGTAGATCATCTGAACAAACAGGAACAAGAAGAAAATAAAGTAATTCCACTACCCCCATATAAACATTGCTAATATTCTGATACATATTTTTCCAGTTTTTTCTTCTTGGCTCATATACATTGCGGTGTTGATAAGATACAGAAAAGACAATTATGTGTCCTGCCCTTTTCCTATAATATTGTCTCATGAGCCACCTCTGTTAACTATTCTTTAAAAACATGATTTTAATTTCCATATAATGATCCACTAATGGAATATACCATAATGTATTAAGCCATTTATTTATGTTTCATCAGCTCCCTTTTTTTACATTCCATTAGAATTTCATAATCATTAATAAGCTGGCCCAAGGTTGATAAGAGTTTGTTAAATCAAAATTCACTTACTGGGTATTTGCCATGTGCCCAGCACCATGCTGAGCATTACTCGGGATTCCTTTACCTGGTCCCACCCTCGGGTGCTTACAATTCACTTGGGTTAGAGGACAAGTACATAAAATGCTGTCCAAGAATATAAGGCTGAAGGGGCACCTGGGTGGCTCAGTTGGTTAAGCGACTGCCTTCGGCTCAGGTCATGATCCTGGAGTCCCGCGATCGAGTCCCGCATCGGGCTCCCTGCTCGGCAGGGAGTCTGCTTCTCCCTCTGACCCTCCTCCCTCTCATGCTCTCTGT